GTGAAGGCTTCCGGACATCAGCTTGATGGGGGCCCGGGTGACTAAGACCCCTTCCCCTTTTCTCTTTCCCTTCTGTTTGAAAGGACAGGCCTCCGCCACCTTTCCACCAAGAATAATGTTTGCTTTCTTTAAACCTGTCTTGATGGTGGACTGGGTGCAGGCTTCCAGGGGACAAAGACCGTCTCCGCTCAACAGTGTGCTCGTCGCAGCTTGCTTCGGGTCATGGGTGGCAGGCCCTTGTCCCACGGCCTCCCTGTCTTTTTCTGTTCCCACCCCTCCTTCTCTGCCAACCCTCTGGACTGTGTCCTTGGGTCGGTGCTGTCCTCCTGACCTCCCGTGGCTGACAAGTCTAAGGTATGTGGACATGAGGCTCTTGAGGATGCAGATCAAGGATGGGAGCCCTTGCTCTGGACCAGGACCCCGTGTGAGGAAGACCCGAACCCTCCTAGTCAGACGCATAGGTAACATGGTGATGGACGGAGAGAAGGTTGAAGTCGTCAAGGATTCTGTCCTGCTTAGACCCACAATCATGCTCATGGAAGCAGCGGCCAAGAGATCAAAAGACACGCTGCATTGGGTGAATCAGTTGCACAAGCCCTCCTTTAGAGTGTTGAAGAACGAGGATGCTCCTTTGCGGATTAATTCTCCACTGGGATGCTTCCACCGCCACTGGATCCACAAGACTTCCCACCCGCTGGCCTGTGATCTTCCTGCATTTGGCGCCATTGCATGTGTTGCGTGAGTCTGAAGAGGACTTTATCGACTGGTATCGGACATAGGGGCTAATATCGGGCTTATGGACTTGATCTGGACTGGGCTGGGATGTTTTCTCAATATGCAACTGCTCTTTCTTATACACCTGTGAGTGTCTATGGATTTGTTTCTCTGCTCTACCTGGGCGAACACACCCTCTCGCACACGTGGGGTGCCCTGGGTGGAGGCCGGGGTTTGTTCTGGTGCAGGGATTTCCTTTGTCCACTTGAAGGCCTCTCCCAGGGGGAGGTTCGTGGGGGCGGACAGGGCCGAGCAGAGGGCAGAGAAGTGCTTACCTGATTTTAAGTCCCTCTGGGTGAGCGGCCCCACCTGGCTTCCTGCAGGGAAAGGAAGAGAGGAGAAGTCCCAGCCAGAGTTCTTTTGGGAACAAAGGCTGCCTGAGGTTGTCAGAACAGAGCACAGAGCTTCGTGGACCCCTGCGAGGGCCACGTGGACATGTGGACCCCACTCACATCCTTAACGGGAGGTCAAAGGAAGCCGGGAAGGGGGTGGGCGCAGGGAGGGCACCAGAACAGATCACGACGATGCCCATATAACTATTTTTTTAAAAAGGCGACATAACCGTGGAAGTGTATGAGATGTGACTTTTAAATCAAGAAAACGACTGCTAACAAAAACTCAACAACACCAACACCGAGGTTGACCACGGTGACCACGGGGGATGAGGAGGAGGTTTTGCCGAGGGGCCACCGAGTGTCCGTTAGCGGAGGTGGGTGGCTACGGAAGAGGCCGCCGATCAAGGCCGCACAACGTGCAACGTGACCCCAGAGGCGCTGAACCGGACGCTCAGAAGTTTAGAGGCGGAGGCTGTTCTGTGGTGAGTTGTTTCTTCATTTATTGTGGCCGCGATCAGAAAGAAAAACTCATAATGACCTGAGTGACACTGAGGGCAAGGTCGAAAGGTAAGCGCTCAAGCTGACCGTGGTGATCATGGGCCTGAACTCGTGAACTGTATGATACGTGGGAGACGGGCCGGTGAAACGGATACTAGCTAACTAACTAACTAACTACACGACCAAAACAAAGCAACAACACAGAGATCCTCCAGCTCCTCAGCCGCTTGGGCCACTCGACAAGTGCCCCATGGCCCACGCAGAGCTGGTGGCCACCCGGGTGGACAGCACAGGCAGGGGACATTTCCATCCTCACAGAAAATTCTAGAAGCAGGTGTCGGGGTGACTAAGGCCTCAAGCCGGGTTCAGGGGTGGTGGGGAGAGGACCAACCTTTGTGTCTTGAAGAGCAAGGTCAAGGTGGAGAAATGAGAGTCTGACCCCACGCCCCTGCCCGCCTGGATCCTCCATTCTGGGTGATGGTGGGGGGTTAGTCTCGGTTCCCCACTCACCCTTAAGCTCGGCTGACACAAGAGTGCCATAGGGGCCCAGGGGGATGCCGCGGTCCCCAAGCCTGGCGCGCAGACCCTGCTGCAGAAGGTGCTCCTCGGGGCCCAGGCTCAGCGTCCCCAGGAAGTGTTCCAGCAGGAAGTGCAGCTGGAAATGCACCAGGACACTGCCGTTCCCATCCCTGCAGGAGGCGAGGAGGCCCTTGAGGGGGGCTGCTCTCAGCTGGAACCTTCTGGAATCTCCGGGGCATATAGCCCATGGCGCCCCCACCCCACCCACCAGAGGCCCCGCTCACCTGTAACCTAGCACCGTGCAGCTCACGCAGCTGGCCTCCAGCTGGGTCTTCCGGAAGCTACTTAAAAACTGCAATGAGACAACAGCGCCACCTGGTCCCCGCTGGGCAGCTCTGTCCTTTCATGGGGGAGGGGGCGGCTGGAGAAGGGGGCAGGGGCTTCAACAGAAAACTGCCTCCCTTCCGAGAGCAGCAATACCAGGAGGGTAAGGAGAAGGTGGGGGAGAAAGGGGGACCCGATCACAATGATCTAACTATAACCCCCGCCCAGGGGAATGGAAAACAAAAATGGGTGAAGGGAGACAGCAGTCAGTGTAAGACATGAAAAAAATACATAAATTGTCAAAGGTTCATGAGGGAGGGAGGGGGAGGTGGGGAATGAGCTGATACCAAGGGCTCAAGTAGAAAGAACATGTTTGGAAAATGGTAATGGTAACAAATGTACACATGTGTTTGACACAGTGGATGGATGGATGGATGGTGATGAGAGCTGTAAGAACCCAATAAAATGATTTAAAAGAAAAAGAAAATTGCCCCCCTTCTTTGTTTGGGGGCAGAAAATACATTTACAAAGTTAACCAACTGTCAGTGGATCACCAGCTGTAAGTGGATCACCAGCTGTCAGTGATAACCAGCTGTAAGTGGACCACCAGGTGTCAGTGGATCACCAGCTGTCAGTGGATCACCAGCTGTCAGTGGATCACCAGCCGTCAGTGGATCACAAGGTGTCAGTGCAGGATAAGCAGACCAGGTGGCACAGTGGGTCCATGTTAGGCTGTGGGAAACTGACTGAGACTCACTCCCTGACTGGTACCGAGGGAACCTGGAAAGCTAGTATTCCACAGTAGGAAAGCCACCTCTCCGGTAAGTTAGAGATATAGTCCAAGTACATTTTCCTGCGCTATCAATTTCCACAGTTTCTCCCCTTAAAGCTGTGCTGCCTTTAAGTGAGCATATGGTTGATTCCCTCTCCCTGTAGAAGCAGACATTCCTATTTGCTCTTTCTCTTCCCGCCCACAGCATCCAGCCCCCCTCATACCTTCCCCCAACAGTAGACGGGCATAGGGGGACTTTATCCCCCGTGCTTGGATTCAAAATGTTTGCTGTAAACCTGAATTTTTGGCTTGGCTACATTAATATTGTCTTTAAATTTGCCTTGAAAGCTTTCAATGTATGGAAAATAACCATGGAGCCCCTGTGTCTCTTTTGAATTTAATATATGAAACAAAAGGGGGAATTGTGGAATACAGAAAGATTTCTCCCCAAGTTGTCTCCCCCAAATATATGCCAAACCTAAGACGCTGCTCCCTACACATGGTAACGACTGTACACTTGGAGGTCAGTGCAAACTGCTTAGAGGTTAATCCCCCTGAGGGTTATCAGCCATCTAGAGCAAACAGACTGTATAGTCTGTCCCACCCTAAGTAGGGCCCACTCCCTTCTAATAAGGACAGTGGATTGCTTCCCAGAAGGAGAGCCCAGGGAGGCCAAGCCCACTCAAGGGTGACCAAGGTTAGGCTGCCATATAGAGTCTAGGGTCCGCCCTTCTTGACACATGTGTACTCCTAGTCCCTCCCCTTCCTGTTACGTGTACACCCCTAGTCCCTCCCCTTCCTGTCGCACTTATGCCTATTGTACATATTCCCCTTCCTGTGACATGTGGTCAGGCGTTTCCTGTCACTAGGATCAGGTACTTCCTGTCAGGGGGATCAGACTCTACGGTGGCTCTTTCTGTGGCTGGTGTCTATTATGTTTTCAAGGTTCATCCATGGACAGCTTCATGCATCAGGATGTCCATCCTGCCTGGTGTTGGCTTTACGGCACTGTGCTCTTTAGTCAGGAGCCCCGGTGGTGCCGCGGTGAGACACTTGGCTGCTCCTCAGAAGGCCGACGGGTGAACCTCGGGAAAGACGAGGCTGTCCGCTCTGGGAAAGAGCAACAGCCGCAGAGACCCACAGGGCCAGAGCTCTGTCCTCCCAGTCCTCTGGGACTAGGAGGCAACTTGACATCAATGGGTTTTCTTGGGTGCTTCCATCCTTTATTTAAATATTCCCTCATATCACAACTTTCCATTGAGGAAGATTTCATTAATAGTTGTTTGGTGTTATTTTTTAAATCATTTTATTGGGGGCTTTTACAGCTCTTATACAATTCCATACCTCCATTGTCTCCAAAGCATATTTGTACGTAGGTTGCCATCTTTATTTCCAAAGCATTTTCTACTTGAGCCCCTGGTACAAACTCCTCTTTTTCTTCCCTCCCTCCCCTATCCTCCCACCCTTGTGAATCCTTCATCAATTATATATTATTATTATGATTTCGCATCTTACGCGGCCCATTGTCTCCCTACACCCACATTTCATTAATATTAAAATAATTGTAGCTTGCGCGTTCCCGTTGGAGTAGATTCTGACTCACAGCGACCCCCTGACAGAATAGAACCGCCCCCCAGGGGGTTCCCTGTACATCCTCTTGCCAGGAGCAGACAGCCTCATCTTTCTCCTGCAGAGCGGCCGGTGGATTAGAACTGCTGCTAGGGAAGCAGCCGAACCCGTTAGCCACGCACGGCATGCCAGCGCGCCCTTAAGAGACAGCACACCGTCTCTGACCCCAGCAGGCATCCTGAGACGGCTCTGCCGCTGGCAAACCTGTCATTGTTGCATGACAGGGAAGAGCTGTCTCAGAGGGTTTCCTGGGCTGCACCCTTTCTGGGAAGGAGCCCTGGGGACTGGCTGGAAGGTCAGTGGTTCAAACCCACCAGCTGCTCTGCAAGAGAAAGATGAGGCCGTCGGCTTCTGCTTTGCAGTTTGGGAAACTCTCTGGAGCATGGAGACTCTGTTGCAGAGGGTGGCTGTGAGTCAGAACCCGCTGACAGCAGCGAGTTTGGGGTTGCTTTATTTATTTATTTTTAACGGTTTCGCAAAGTGGCCAGGTATAGGACCCGCCCCACCCAGCCTCGCAAACATACCAAAGAGAACCCTATTTCCAAATGCGCTTGTCTCCATAGGAGTAGGAGTTCTGCTTCCAACCTGTTCTTGAGGGGCACCCAATTGAATCCACAGCACCTCCCCTGCTCCCAGGAGCACCCTCCCCGCCCCGCTCACCAACGTCTTCAGGGTGGGCGTCAGCGTGCGGTGATAGTCTGAGCCCGGCTGCTGCAAGCTGCTGGCGTAGCGGATGCCGCCCAGCTGGGCCGTGTGCTCCACGTCCACGCCCCACGTAGAGAGGAGAGCTGCGGACAACATCAGAGCCCTGTGAGAGAGCCCCTGCCTCGGGGGTCCAGGCACAGCTGAGCCGCCGTGCCCCTGGGCAGGCCAAGAGAATCTCTCCACATTGAGGTGGCTTCATGAACTGGTAGCCGGGCAAGTCCAATCACACCTGTACCCCCGGCAAGAACACTGCCACCAAGTTGTTGGGGACTCACAGCAACACTACGGCAGAGCAGGACTGCCCTATGGGTTGCCGAGGCTGTAAACCTTTACC